GACTGATACTCATATCACATGGCTATCGTTGACATCTAATTAACACCTATTGTTAACAGGGGGTGGAGTGATACTGGCAATAGAAAACGTTTCATTAGAGAAGAACCCGTCCAGAAGACCTATACAATTTTTTTCTTTTTGTTTTTAAATGGTGTTCTTTACTTGCTACACATAGCATATTTACATATTGTGAACCAATAAAACAAAGTGTTTACATGGTTAAATTTTTTTTGTTTTAATTCAGGTTATTCCATACCAAATGCTAAAGACAGAATACAAACCCCATGAAGCCAAGCGTCGCCTGCTGGCAAACTTTGACATGTTTTTGTCTGATGAGCGCGTTCGCCGCCTGCTACCCTCTCACCTGGGAAAAACCTTCTACGAGAGAAAAAAGTAAGAACAAAGAAAACTGCCGTATCACCYTTTGAATTTGTTGCTTTTGTGTGAAGCACTTTGGTCAGTGGCAGCTCTTATGAGATAAATTAGCTTTGATTTTGTATTTCTTCTAACTGTATTTGTTGAATAAGAAATGTTAATTAAGAACTGAATCGAGTTGTATGGGTTTTTTTTTTTTTTTTGTCGTAGTGCTCACTGATGTGTGAAATGTATGCAGCTGTGTTGACTATATTCTCACCCTGTTTGTGTCTTTCTCAGAGCTCCGCTGTCTGTGAACCTGCAGAGTAAACATCTGGCCAGAGACATGGAGAGAATCATTCAGGGCACCACCCTGACGGTTACCAACAAAGGCTGCTGCTGGTGAGCTTACTTTATTATTTTTTTAAGATGTATTTTATCAAAAAAGGAAAAGCATGTCGATTGTGAAAAGTGCTTGAGGGGGGAAAAAAAAGCTTAATCCCAGAGAGTCAGTAGCACCTCAGTACAACCCTGTTGATTGTTTCTGTTCAACGAGGGTCAGAGTTGGTGCCATAGAAACTCGAAGTCAATCCAGATGGATCTCCTCTTCTGTTGGAGTCTGTCTCTACAACTTTGATACATAACAAAGTTCACATTAAATCTACGACRTGTATTTAAACTTCTCTGACCGACTCAGCTAACTGCTCTGTTTGAACCCGGTGGTTTACGTTGCAGTATGGCACGTGTCGCTCATTCCGGCATGACTGCAGACGAGGTGGCYGACAACATCGAAGCTGCGGTCCAAACGGTGATGGACAAACTCCAAACGCTGAGTGTAAGAACACTGAAGGATTGTCTAGTGTTTGCATAAAGATCAGCTTTAGTTCAAAGTTTGATTTTTAGCAGATCCATAAATTATTTCCATTTATTTCATTACTCTTTCTTACATTAAAAAAGTCTTGCTGTATGCATGTTTCTGACTTCTGAGATATGATGCATTGCTGTTCGTGTCAAGAGCACATAGCAGACAGCGTGAGCGTTAAGTAGCTTCTGACAGGTTTTATTTTGCAGGTGTATAGTTCAGGCAATCATAAACATATTTATGTGTGGACCATATGCATCCCTTTACATCACTTAAAGAGGACCTATCATGGMTTCTTGYACAAGTTAGGATACATKTATGGGCTATACAAAACATGTTCATTAGATTTAATACACAAAATCATTTTCAGTTAATGAGCTTTCACCTGTCACTTCTGCCTGTTCTGAGCTCCCTTCAGGACGAGACATTTATTCAGATAAGCTGTTGTTTGCAACGCCCTGCCTGCCAAACTTTTGTTTATATTAGCTCTGCCCTCCCAACACAGCGTTTATAACGCTTCAGATACATGAAAATGGCTAGGACAAGCAGATGTACAATGGTACAACAGTAGTAGAGGGGCCACCCCAGGCGAGGGCTTGATAGGGACAGACGAGCGTCAAGACACCTTGTTGTCGAAGAAGCCAACGTGCTGTCGCCACATTAAACTTTATTTGATAAACATTTATTTTAACTGTAAAATAAAGACTGTAAAAATACTGTAAGATGTTCAGTTTTTATCATTTTTGAACTAAAAGTTTAAAAATATATCACACGGACGGGGACATTTTATTTACACGCAAAGCATTCTGGGTAAATGATGACATGGATAGGTCCTGGCTGCAAGGCTGCTAGCGAGCCTGTTAGCTTTAGCGTTAGCCCCGATGCTATCACCATATATATGTATTAGCTCAGCGCTACACACTCTCCTC